CATCAGATTAAACCTCTGATGTAATGGTTACTTTAGTATAAGAAGAAGAAGAGAAACACATTACTGCAGCACGACTTCTTCAGGCTGGACTCTTATTATGGACCATATTTATAAATTTTGTCTTTACATGTTTAGTTCTTCTTAGGATGACAGACAGCTTTCCTGTTTTGGATACTGAATATTTCAGTTCATGGCCGGCCCGTGGAATAGGCGACATAGGTGGTTGCTTATAGGGCGCAAAATATCCAGACAGCAGCGTAACTGGTAGAGTTTTGCAATATAATCATCTTAAACCTGAAGCGCAGCCTTGCTTTGTTTTTGACTGTGAGCTGCTGAAGTTAACGTGAGAGATTTCTGCCTGATCTGTAGTGTTTTGGTTGTTTCAGTTTCACATGCAGCATGCAGCCCCACACTGTGTCGGTCAGATGGTCTGAAGGGGAGAAGCTATTTACCAGCGGAGCAGTAATGTAAAGCACAGCAGAGTAAAGGCCACGTAGAATTAAAAACTACTGCTCTCTCTTGCCTCACAGTAGTTTGGTCCACTGCCTGCTTTCCCTCTCAGAGGAGACCGGTAGGAGAAAACCAGTTCTGATCCTTCAGTAGTTGTGGAGCTCCAGTAATGTTAAGCAGGCTGCAGGGCTGTACTTTAAACATTGGACTTTAATACAGATGATGCTGAGTCATCGATGAATTAATCATGACAAGAAGTTATGATAACCGATTATTTCCCCATGAGCTCACTCTGTTATTATAACATTACCTAGCTTGTTTGGTAGCTTGTTTAACAGTTTATTGGACCGGAACTCATCTTCTACAGCTAGAGACGCACAGATTGATCAGCTGGGGACTGAAATAGGCCGTTTTCTCCCCTCTTACTCAGCTTCGACCGGTGACCGGGGCAGAGTAGTCTCAAATATCCAATTTTCTGCCGGTCACATTGAACGTTACAATCATGCTGCGCCACAGACAGTAACCTCGTGTCACAGCCACGGACACACGGGCTGAAACGTTTCTCAGGTGTGTGGAAGTTATTCAGGAGAGTGAAGAAGACGCGACGCTCACTACATCTGCAGAGAAACACACAGGAAGAGAGGCGGTGGATATTTAAAGCAGGGAGCAGGTGAAGCAACAGTGATGGTGATGATGTCATTCAGACCAGGTGGTCTCTATGGGTGATTAACAACAAGCCTCCTCCACACGCATCTCATCTGCTGCTGGGAAAACAGAATGAAAACATACGAAACGAGAGTTCCTTTAAATAAAACTGCTGACAAATAAAGTCAGAGCAGACAGAGAGAGAGAGACAGGTGTAGCTTCTGTGTCTGAGGGGAAAAGAAAGGTGAGAGGATTACTGTAGTTTGTGATTAAACACAAAAACAAATTAGAGAATTAAGTAGAATTAAAATGGTGTGCAATATATTTTCAGCTCCTTCCAGTGAAAATGTTATTTTATAATCAATGTTTCATTAGACCCCAGTGAGAATAGCTAACATTTATACTGGTGCTGATGGAGATTTTCCCAATAAATAGTTTGTGTTTGCTGTCACTTATAGATCTGGAAATAAAATCAGAATCAGCCAAAATTCGAATCGGCTGGTCAGACCTTTTAAAAAATCAGCCAGGAAAACTGTAAACTGTGCATCTCTTACTACAGCGATAATCCTGCTGGTGAACCGATACTAGACTGATACGTAGATAAACCGTTGTGTTGGGTTTTCACATTATGATGTTGAGTGACAGATCACTTAAATTAAATGTGTAATATATATATATATATATATATATATATATATATATATGTGTGTGTGTGTGTGTGTGTGTGTGTGTCTATGTAAGAGACATCCTCTATCCCAGAAGAAACCTAAATCACTATGTAGCCTAGAGGACGCAAGTGCGCTGGGTGCTTCAGCAAGTGACCTTTTATCAATGCAAAATTTCCTTAATTAATTTATAAATTTGTAAAGACCCTTTTGTGGAGACCTGCCCAATCAAACTACTAGTGAATTGAATAATAATAATTTCGCAGTAAATAAAAATGAAATATTAAAAATAATAATAAAAATTTAAAATGACCCTCATCTTTGACGAGGCCTCCCGTTCAGACACCGTTTTGATTCAGCAGCACCTACAGGACGCCTGCGGTTTGCCGCAATGTGCTTGTTGTGGGTTGTTGTGATGTATTTTACAAGAAAGACGCAAAGACAGCAGCACAGTATGTATGTTGCTGTGTGTAACGTTAGCTGCTGCTAACACAGCTAACGTTACTTCTACACAGAAAAACAAAGGTGCTCTGGTCACTTCTGCCGTTTCAGGGAGAAAAGTCTCTCTGGTGTTGAGAGGTTTGGTCTTTTTTATGTAATTTGACTAAAAACAAGGATTATTACAGTAACTTAATTCAAAATGTAATGTGCCTTAAAATAACTATAACATTAGTAAAACAGGTTACTTATGTCAGTGTCAATGTAAAATAAATAATATTCCTGACATCAAAGTAAAGAGTGAAGAAGAAATGGCCCTATGAGAATGTGAAGGTAAATGCTGCTCTGTCATGGTTATTATGGGCCGACAGAATGAACACATCTAGTTTATTTATTTAGATTTTGATTAGACATATAGTCAATCAAATTCCAAATATATCTCAGATTCACAATGTGGTGTATAAAATCATTATCACAATATTGCCTGTTCAGCCACGATAGACTAACTTACTTTGATTGAACTTTCTGACATTGGGAAAGACCGTAAATGTCCCCAGACTACAGTATCTCTGAGTCATCTCTTTAACCACATCACACACATGTAGGTTTTTCTAATTGAATAATAATTAATTTAATCTTTTTTTCCCTCACTGAAACGGTCTGGAGCCTCAGTTTTGGGTGAAACTCTTGAACAAACTAGTTTTGGGTTCTTGTGTTCTGAGCTCACAGTCAGTGTTTTAGCTCTTTGCAGGTCTGAGGTATATTGTCAGTACTCTGTCCACCACCTCAGGTGCACCTGCCAAAATAATGCAGTAAAGTGTCATCGAATATTAACATGTGTTCATATTTGATACACGAACAACCAGAAACGTCTCAAGGATTGAAAGACGGGGAGGGCGTAACCTTCGCCTGCAATATCTTTGCACTTGTTACTGTAATGGAACGACACGTTTGTCTCCAACCAGTGAAGAAGCCAAGATGTTAACAAGTAAAAAGAGACATGTTCTCTTCTTCCATTTCTCCTCTGCTGGACAAAAGGTGCTGTAATGTTGCTTTTAGAGGGAATTCACTGAGGCCGGACGGAGTTCTTCTGTGACTGAAACTCTACCCAGCTGCTCATCTACATGTGTGAGAAAGTAAAACCATGTCTAATTCATCTGTCTGAGATAAGTTGCAGGTCCAAAGAATGCTTTTTAATCACACTAATTACTGTAGATTGGTCCAATCAGAGTGTGATTTTGCTCTGTAGTTTGGATGCAGACAAACATACAATCAATACTTTTTCATGTCAGCTGTTATAGGATAAGGATCCTGTTTAAAGTGGCTACTGTCTGAATTATGGTAATGTTGCTCTGCAGCTTGGCCCTCAGGGTCCTAGTGTCCGACCACAGCAGGGATTTAAATCATGAAGCAGAGTTAACAACCAAAACGATTATTTTACGCCAACAAATACAAATATATTTGTATCATTCTATCATATGTTTTGCAGTGTTTTGAACAGCGACACAGTCTCCTCCATGATCACGCTCACAGTCCTCGCTTTGAACTGCAGGTGGGAGAGGTTATACCCGTGAATCATCGTGCAGCTACGATGTAGCCTGCAAACTCCACTCAGACGCAGATATCTACATGACGGTACATTACGGAGATAAACAAAGTTATCGGAACGTATTTCCTGGTTTGCAGTCAGTGGATCATGAAGCCTTGCGACACATCTGGGACTGTCACCATCTAGCCAATGTCACTACCATGCGGCCTGGCAGCCCGCTGGACGGCAGTAGAAGGACAAATTAATAACACGTCACTAACGTGGGGCAGGCTGCACCCTCCAGAGTCAGTGGACTTTAGGGGTGAGACTGCAGCAGAGCCTACAAAAACCACTGTATTCATAATATGCACTAAAAATGAAACCTGAGTAACACAAACAAGGCCTTTATTTACACCCTGGAAACTGGACAGAAGTCACTGTTTGTTTGTGTGATGGATGGTGCTGGATATGAAAGATGTTTTATGGTAATCCTCCGGCCGTATCTGTTGTGACGGCACATCCATATGTTTCAATGATGGCCTTTATCTCCGTGGCCACAGACGCCTGCGCTCTCTCCTCAACATGTCTGGATCCACTGGTTGGGTGAGGCAGAGCATCTTCTACGTCACGTCTGCCATTTTTAGTGGCTACATTAACAAAGCGTTGAGCTGTGTTAACAAAACCTTTCCCAGCAACCAAGTCGTGTGGCCGGATGTCTCTGCAGTATCTTATTTAATATGAACAGCGAGAAGCGCTCTATCTTTGAGTGACAGCTCACTTTGGTCTTGTCGCCGCAACCCAGAGGTGCCTGTCGAATTTTAACACCTGAGGCCTGAACCCCGAATCCAGACTCGGGTTCTCCGGGACCACAGAGACCTGGCTCAGGTCTAAACAGGTGGATCTCCATGGTAACCCGTTTAAATAAAACACAACTCGTCCGCTTTTGAATAATTCCAAAGTTTCTTTAATTGAGGGGACAGAGTGGCGAGCTACAAAGAGTTTAAGGCACTTTAACCTCGAGAAAGAGGAAGAGGAAGGTTACAGACATCGTGATGTTCTCAGTCAGACAGGCGGCTGCATTATCTCTAAGGAAAGGCAAGTTTATTTGTATAGCACATTTTAACAACAAGGCAATTCAAAGTGCTTTACATAAAACATAAAAGCAACAGGGAAATATGTAAAAGTTTAAAAGAAACATAAAATATAATAAAAGTTACAATCAGGGTTAAAAGCTAACGGTAACAACTGAAGGCTGCAGCGAGAGTGAAGGTTAGTTAACGTTAGCGCTGCTCTGTGATTGGCTGGCTGCTCTTCATCTACGAGTAACATTCAGGACAGTTTCACACGCAGTAAACCAGACAGCAGTTAATCTACTTCTCTCCAGAGAATCAGTCTCATTCAGGAGGGAACTAACGGGTCAGCGTGTGGAGGCACGCCGCCTGCAGGACGGAGCTGCTCCCACCGCCGTTTACATTTCGCCCCGATTACCGATCCCCTCTGTTCACACTCACACCTCGCTCAGAGTTTGGCCTTGGCCTGGAAGAAGCTCATGACGGCGTTGAAACACTCGTCCGACGTCCAGCGCTCCATCAGACGCTCCACCTCGGCGTCGTTCACCGCGTGGAGACGCTCCCTGTCCACCGAGCGCATCAGCTGTTTAGAGAGCGCCAGAGACTGAGAGAGAGAGAGAGACTTATTTAGCTTTTCTCCACAGTGATCATCCAACAGGCCGCAGAGGTTCTGGTCTGGACCAGCTAGTGGTTCAGAGTCCTGCGCTCTGTTGATGGTTGTTCGTCTGGATTTCCTCTAAAACTTTCTCTCCTGATCTGAACTGTGGAAGGTTTGCACAGCAGCAAACTGAAAGAGAAGAAGATGTTTCTGTAGAGGAGGTGCATACCGTAAAACTCTGATTATTTGCTAAAATCCCTGAGCTGACCCTGACGGGCGTCCCAGGACTGAAACAGGCAACTATGAAACACTTTATTTACTTAAAACAGAATATTACTTGTATAAAAATGATCCAATAATATCAGATACGCGTCATTCATTTGATCTAAGTCCGACAGACGGCTTATGTGCTTTTATTTTGAAGGCAGCAGCGTAACGTAAACATCATCAGGCTGCAGAGACGTTAGCAGACAGAGAGCGACGGACTTCACATGACCGGATTCACAACGTGGATTCACTTCTAATGGAGACCTGCGCTTATTTGTCTAAATGTGTTCCCACAGCAGGCCAGGAAACAGGCAGTTTTACAGAGAGAGAAAACGCACCACGACCTGTTCCTCAAAGTGAACAAAGCAGGAGCGCTAAAATACAGAGAGTGTGTGTTTACGTTGGGGGGCAGCTTGGCGTAGGCCTTCAGTCTGGTCCAAACCTCCGACTGGAAGCTGCTGTCAGGGAAAACCTCGGTGACCAGACCGAGTTCACAGGCCTGGACCGCCGTCAGCTTCTTGTTGAACAGCAGCATCTCACTGGCCTAAAGGGAGGGGGGGGCAGTTTATTACTACAACAACAACAACAAGCTGTTTGTGAATAACCACAAACAGAGTTGGTGAATAAACGCTGAGGTGTATGAAGCGCTGATGATGAGGAGGCTGAGACCTTCCTCACATGAAACTAACAGAACCTGTTGTGAATTATTTTGGAGCATTATAGCCTAAATTGTTATCATAATTACTAGAGCAATGGTGTTCTACATTGTCATCATTTAAAGTGTCATTTTACAGTGTAAAGTTAGGATCACAGTGTTAAAACTCTACAGCTCTGAGTGTGTGTGCTCCTCTCTGTATATAACTGCCCAGGCTCAGCAGTAGCACATTGCTTTGGGAGCACAGTGAGGCAGCATCAACAACACCTGCAAAGGAAAATATAGAAGCAGATTTTGTGAAAGTTGTATTACAAAAACATACATCAATATAGTCCATCACAGTAAGAATGTCCTGTTTCCAGCACAGAGCACAAACAACACCAGTTTATTCCACAAAAGTCAGGTTATGGATGAAATGGCATGATCAAGCAGAGTGCATGCAGAGGACACAGAGAGGAGGAGCAGGCAGTCAGGGACTTTCCCAGACCCAGTAGGAAAGAGAGCCAAGAGATGATGTATAAATGATGATGATGTATAAAAGGTGGTCCAAAAGGAGGTGAAAGTCAGTCGTTACATGGTTTTCATGTGGACTCGGGTCTCTGTTCTGGTAACAGAATGGGGCTCTATTTTGCACCGATCTCTGACTCACTCCGGTGGAACTTTTGTATTCTGTTTTTGTTGATAATAAAAATGTTGGTAAAAGATCAAGCTTTCTTATCTGGCCCAAGTCTTGAATTTTACACGACATTACGTGGCGAGCCAGCCAGGAGTGTTGAATAGGGGCAGGATGACCTTGACCAGGGATGGACAGACTGTATCTCAGAGACACCTCTGAAAATCTTTTTCTAAAATTTCTGCATAATAGTGTGTGTCTGAGTACAGGATTCTCCACCCAGGTGAAGTTCCTGAAAGCTTCCTCACTCTTGAACCTAGTTAAAGTACAAAAATAAATTAAGGAAAATTGTCAAAATTTAACTGAATTTGCTACAAATGAACTAAATTTACTAAATAAGAGAAAGCGGATACGGATTGGGAACCACTCGGTTGTGAGAGTTGGGTGCAAACGTATGATTGAAAGTGTGAATGCATGATCAATGTTGTGTTGTCTTGTATGTTGTTCCTCAAATGCAAGTCGGCTGAGCTGCAGCTGTGTGAGTGTCTGTGAGTGTGTGTGTCCATGTGGGGGAGGACAGCAGGCAGAGAGAGAAAAAGAGAGCAGTTCAGCCCTAAACCAAAAGTTATATGAGAGTTTTGTGATCTGTTGCACCTTTATAGTATAACAACAGCACGTTATACCAAGTTACTCATGAGTTAATAATAACAGAAGTTATAAAGGTTTTTTGAACCAATAACAGCTTGACAGTAAGCAGATTAGTAAAAGAACGGCAATGACTGCTGGATACAGAAAAGAAAAGTGCAGTTGAAACAGCCTACTGAAGTATTATGATAATAAAGGAAATTTAGTTCAGAATAACAGGCTGAAGACACTTTTTGGTCGAGGAGAAGGAACAAACTAGAAAAATTATGACATCTGATAAAGTTTGCTAAGTTATTGAAACAGAAGTACAGATTGATAAGCAGCAATGTGAGGTGTTATCTATGAAGGATTTAAGTTGGAGAAGGGATTGAGAGCCATCAATTTTGTATTAGATGTGAGAAAATGAATTTGATATTTTAATAGTTGTTAGTTTCACTGATGTTAGTTATTTTTAGTAAACTCTGCTTTGATGATTTTTCAGTTGAATAGCTCTTTGATATAAAAACAAGGGGAGCTGCCTGAGTTTCTTTCAATGAATTGTTTCATTCTAGTTTCTTGGTTGTGTGGCTTGAAAATTAACCGTCTTTTCTTTTTCTCGCAGTGAGTGTGCGATGGCTGTCCTGGGAGGCAAACAGCAGGTGAAATTAAAGGGTAAAGAGCAGAAAAAAGAAATATTAACTGCAAAGGTGGTCAAAGGAGGGAGCTGTGGCAGCAACATATGTGGTAACAGCACAACTAAGTAGTTAAAGATAAAATAAAAGACGTCAGATAAGAGATAGAGAAAGCTCAGAATGAAGGGAAAATAGAGAGAAACAGTTTGACCAACAGTTAGATAATATTGACATACGATATAGTCGTCAGTGAAGGAAAAGTAGTCACTGAGACAGAATAATGAAGAGCCCATCCTGGTAGATAAGGTCTAAATAGATGAAGAAACGTACACAGCAAGTGGAAGAAAGATATAAGTAAGTGCAGTCAAGGGCCAGTACAGGCAGAAGAAGAAGAAAAAGAATTAGGCTCTTTAAAGGGTGAGTTCAGATATAAAGGAGAGATGGAAAAAGAGAGGCTATAATAGAAAGGGAGGAGACGAGAGCTAGATATGAATAGAAAGAACAACAAACTCCCAAACAAAGAAGTGAAAAGTTAA